CTATAGGAAGCGTTTAGAGGCTGTTATTTCTGTGAAAGGAGGAGCTACTAAATATTGAGTTAAGGTTTTTATATGGTGCCCAAATTTATGTACCTGCCTAATTTTGTTTAACCAATTATTGCACACTTTCTGTAAATCATATAAACTTCATTTCACTTCTCAAATGTCACTGTGTTTATCCCCTATATGATATATTTAACTATTTTTAATCCAAACAATCAATGATTTATAAAGGTAAATCAGGAAAATTAACAAGGGTGCCCAAACTTTTTCATATGACTGTAATTTCAAGTTCTTCACTTCTTCCATCAGGCCGATCATTTTTTTCCTGCTGTGAAGCAAGTCTAGTGAGCTCGGCTGACATAAAGTTTAAGGATTTTTTAATCTCCTCCATGTTCACTGCGGCTGCATGTTCTTTTTCTCTACTAGATCCCCTTCTTCCAAGCATGATCTCGTCAGCTGCCTCCAGCTTTTGACTGCTGGCTCATAACATCTGTTGGCTTGGACTTTGGCTGTCGGTCACATGACCGCTTTTTAATTCTGTTATTCCATAACTTCTTTTTTTCTTTTACTTCTCTTTTTATGAATGCCACAAAAATCAGCTGACTTGTTGAATTCTCGAGCCTACCATTAACCATAAGCTCAAAGATAAAAGTAGCAAAAAAAGACAAAAACAGAGCAAGTAGATTCTAAAGAGAACAATGTTTTTGAAGGAATAACACTTTAATTTATGGATAGGACATTTTGTTAATAAAAGTTCATATTTCTAAAATTTTAAAGTTACAAAAGCTACTTTTGTATTGAGTGAAAATAAAGCACATTAAACATGATATTTTTGTGTTTTCAGAGTGATGTGGTGCAGAAGCTGGGCTTCTGTCACAGCATCCACATGTTGAACCGGGTTGTGTCCTGGGTGGAGATGATAGAGGCTCGCTCCTGCCCTGCTGTGCATGTGACAGACTCCATGCTTGGAGGCGTGCCCACCCGCATTTTTCAACCAAAGGCGGGGAGAAAGCTGAAAAGAGGAGTGATCTATTTCCATGGCGGAGGCTGGGCGCTCGCCAGCGGGAGTGAGTTTGCTTCTGTTAGATTTCATGTTTTCTGCAAGAAGACTTTTTTTTTTGACTCAAGTCAGCCTAAATTCGTCACAAACAAATGTAAACATTTCACAGTATGTTACCCCTAATGCCACATTTCATTCCATCAGGACTGCTTTTATTAAAGACGTAAACTGAATGTGTCAAGACATAAATATCATGAAATCAAAAGTGGAAATAAAGTCATTATTCATGCCATTACCTTTTAAAAGAACGATGAAGACAGTCTGTTTTAGCTGTCATTTTGTGGCAGTTTTGAGCAGCTTGTTGCAGTTTAGCGTTTTGTTGATGTTTAATGTAAAAATCAGATTGTCTGCTTCACAGAAATGCGCTCCTACGACCTGCTTTGTCGGAAAATGGCGGAAGATCTGGACGCTGTCATCATGTCTGTGGAGTGAGTTTTAAGTCATTTTAATCTGGATGAAATAACTCTTAAAAAAGGAGAACATGTAAATGTGAGCTCCTTTTTGTTGAACACTGTTCACTATAAATAGTTTAAAAAAATGTTAATTATTTGTCTCCATCTGACTTTTCACGAGGTTCTTAAAAAGTGTCAGTAGCTGAATAAACAATAGTTTTTTTTGTCTGTTTAGCTCCAGGCCAATGAACACAGTGATAAAGAGGATTTCTGTCAGGAAGCCTAAATATAAACAAGAAATGCCTGGAAGAGAATATAATAAAGATAAAAACAATGTACTTCGTTAATACTGCCATGTGGTTTTTRCCTGTTGCTTTAGTTACCGTCTCGCTCCTGAGGCGGTGTTCCCGAGTCAGTACCACGATGCTCTGGCAGCGTCGCGGGCCTTCCTGTCATTGGAGGTTTTACAGCGACACAGCATCGATCCGGAAAGAGTCTGTGTGTCAGGAGACAGTGCCGGAGGAAACCTGGCTGCTGCCGTGGCTCAGCAGGTAAATCAAACAGAGAAAATTGAATTCAGTTAAGCATATATCTGACGTATTGTTCAGAACCATGTTTAAAATCTTTCTTTTTCACATTTAAATCGTTCAGTTGGGGTCTAGATAAAGTGAAACTGCAATGCTTTGGTCCGAATTCCTCCTTATTGTAGCGCCACAAGCCCCTCTTTCACCCCTTTTCTGAGCTGTGTCTCAGATCAACTCGTTTTGAGGCTGTCTCTTTAAATCCGAACAAGTTGCTTCACACCCCACCTGCCTCCAGCTTCCAGAGTGGTCCAAGTACGACACAAAACCAAATATAAGCAGAGTTGTAATGTAACTAAGTACACATGTTACCGTACTTAAGTCGAAATTTTGGGTATCTCTACCCAAATCTGTACTTTACTTGAGTAATTATTTTTCAGCCTACATTTTACTTTCTACTCCTTACATTTTTTAAAAAGGTAAGAAGTAAAAAGTCGTTTCTCCTATTTCATTTCAGCTTATTATTGTTAAAAAATACTATCCTGAAAAATTGTGTCTCCTGGATAGAGTGAATTTAATTGCATTTGGATGAGAAGTATAAATATATACCTTTCTGATACTGTATTTAGTTTGTATACAATTAATTAAAGCTGCACGCCTAGAGAAAATATTTTTGGAAAGTTCACCTCCCAATAAATGTATGTTGGAAAATCTAACCGTTCAGTTTTACTCAGTACTTTTACTTTTATTACTTAAGTACATTTTATGTCAGAAGTTTACTTTTGATACTTAAGTACAAAATAAATCAGATACTTTAAGACTTTTACTCAAGTAATATTCTCGGAGGAGACTTGAACTTTTACCAAAGCAATTTTATGATAAGATAAGCGTACTTTTACTCAAGCATCACTTTCAGGTACTTTATACTGTACAACACTGAATATAAGGATATCTACAAATCACCAGGAGAGAATAACGTTTCCTGCACTCTTAGAGACATATGTCCCCTTTAAAAGATTACAAAATCACATAAACATCAGCTGTTCAGTTAGTTTCAGAATATTTCCATCTAACGCTGGATTGTGTCCACAGCTGGGCTCTGACGACTCCACGACYGTAAAGTTTAAGGCCCAGGCGTTGATCTACCCGGTACTGCAGGCGCTCGACTTCTACACCCCGTCCTACCAGCAGAACCAGGCCATGCCCTTCCTCTACAGGCCTTACATGGCTCGTTTCTGGCTTCAGTACCTGGGCGCTGACTCCTCCCTGGTGCCCGTCCTGCTGGCCAACAACCACAGCTCTCTGGACCAGCCCGATATCAGCTCTGCGACCCGCTCCAAGCTGAACTGGACTGCTTTGCTGCCGGCAGAGCGCAGGGAGCATTTCAGGCCGGTGGTTAAAGCAAGGGGATCGCCTGGCACGGTGAGGAACGTGCCGGGGCTGATGGACGTGAGGGCGGCGCCGCTGCTGGCGGAGCAGGAGGTTCTGGGCAAGACGCCCAAAGCGTACGTGGTGACATGCGAGTTTGACGTTTTGAGGGACGACGGGTTGATGTACGCCAGGCGCCTTCGGGACGCCGGCGTCGACGTGACCAATGACCACCATGAGGACGGCTTCCACGGCTGCATGGTGTTCGCAAACCTGCCGATGATGTCGAGCGTCGGACAGAGGAGCAAGGACAGCTACATCCGCTGGTTGGACCAGAACCTGTAGATCAGGACCAGTTTGGGAAATCTGTGGCGATCCTTCAGAGAGGAAAGATTTTAAAACTGAACTCTTGAGGAAAAAACAAACAAACCTTAGACTGCCTCAGAATGGAGCCAGTGTTTCAGAGCTGCTTTCGAAAATCACTGGACTTCAATGTTTTTATTCAAATCAAGCAAAACAGCCTCCTCAGCTAACTGTAACCAAAGAATAGCATTTAATCAGAGCTATATTTATAACCTAATTATTCACATGAGACCTAATGGAACCCCCCTAAAAATAATGTACAAAATTAATCTAATTTCACAATGGATTTAAAACTTTTAAACTCAAAATGAGAGTGCGCGATGAAGCAAAATCTATAAAAAACAGTGGATGTGTGTGTGTGTGTGTGTGTGTGTGTGTGTGTGTGTGTGTGTGTGTGCTGTAGCGAAAGTATGTCAGAGTTCACAGCTGTGTATACCCAGGATTGTGCAATACTGTGTGTTAAAGTGTCCCTCTGTCTCTGGAACACTGTACTGCAGGGCCAGTGCAATGAATACGATGATGATAGCTGTGAAATCCACTCGAGCGATTTACTGAACCGCCACGAGAGCAGACCCCAGGTGGGAGATCACTTTCCCCCGTCCTCAGAAACTCATAAAACGAAGCGATGGCTGTGAGCGGCTGACAGGCTCGGGTTTGAATTACAGCCAGAAGCAGAAACACTGACCCTTAGTGGTGGTCGCCAGGGCTCCACTCGTCAAGGGAATACAAATATTTCAAGTGCAATATGAACTTTCAGGAATAATCTCCTTTATTCCTGACGGTTTGGTCCTTCAACATGGGTTTCTTCACAAACAGCAGAAATCTGGAGCGGCGTTTGCAGTTCTACATGTGAAACGATGCGTTTTATTGTCGAATACTGTAAAAAATCGAATCGTGAATGAGCTGTGTTACGCCACAGGTCGTTTCAGATGAGCAGATATGTAAGAATGAACTCGTGCAGTAGATGTTTTTATTCCTCCACAGTGAGGGGGAGCAGGGTGGTGATTGTTTTCTGTTTTATTTTTATTTTTTTTGGTTTGTGTCTTTGTTTATTCCTGTAATATGTTTCACAGGTTTAAAAAAATGCTGTTTGTGTCACTTATGTGTTTTTGGTTTTACATTTATTTCACAAACATCTGTCTAAAAGCTTCAGAGTARATGTTATTAAAACACTGACATTCCATTTGTTGTGAGAATTTAGGTAAAATACCTTTTATTCATCTTTTTGTTTTCTATTCTGCTACAATGTTTGAATTTTTATTGTCACTTTTTATGAACATGTAAAACATTTACTTTTAGAGAAGTAATTAATTATTACCTTGTCATAGAAAATGTTTTTGTAATATATACAAATATTAAAGTCACCATTTTTTATTCCCTTACAAAAGGTTACTCATGGAAAAAAAGATATTTAGGTAATATGTTTACCAATTTCTTTTTCTTTGACATTAAAAAAGACAAAATAAAAGCCTGTSCTCAGTCACAATTTCATTATTCTGYGATCARGAGATAAAAAGAGAACTTGAGGAAACAAGTAATCAGAATAAAAAAGAGGTTATTTTGAGAAAACACATCTGAAGATACCTTTCTAATATCCTTTCCCATCTTTTGTACACCGGACCTTTATATGTATTATTGACCATGAAAAGACGATTTTTAGCTTTTACTGTAAAACTTGTCTATTAATCTCTAGTAAAGTGCAGTGTATCTGTGTATCCTGCCTTTTTATGGATTAAGCTTTCCTATGTCAAAGTTGAGAATTATTATTAATATGAAATTAAATTAGTTTAAAGTAACCAAAACATAGCAGTTTAGGTAGAATATATTTTAATATTTTGCAAAATATAAACCAAAGAAGAGTAATTAGTAAAAAAATCTATTTTTAAAATAATTTTTTCCAGTATGTTGACTTACAAGAATATTAGGAACTGAGTTCTTAAACTATTTAATTATTTTTTACACACTTATAAACACAAAAAGTTATCCATCCATCCATCCACATCTCCATCCATCCATCCATCCATCCATCCATCCATCCATCCGCACAGGAGGTGGCGCCAGAATCTTCAGAATGTGTCCAGAACCAGGTCTGAATGTGATTCTGTTAAAACCCTGGCTGTAATGAGACCTTTTACCAAACAAAGTGCCTTTTTCTTATTTTTCTTGATGTTTTCTGTCCCAAACAGTATTCAACCTGTTTACTGTGACTGATGTGAGGTTTTTTTTAATTTAATTTTTTTATTTTTGTGTGTGTAAGTTTTAGATTCAGACTTTCTTTTGCTGTTTTTATTTGTGATATGAAGAATTGTAAAAAAAAAACAGCTTTTATCTTTTACCTCTGTGAAACCAGTCATTTCTCTTGTTTGGATCCACTTCTCCTATTTTTCTTTCTCTTAAGCTCTTCAAGTCAAAGTGAGGAAACTGAAACCCATCAGCTGTTTGCGTGACGGAATGCAGCATGCCTGGAAGATAATGTGATCAATAGATGGTAACGAGAAAATGAGCAGGAACTCGATACTCCTGACAGGCAGCTCTTGGGTTTTTGCGTGCCACCAGCAGCCATAATCAACCTTTGCATATGGAGCGCCACAGCCCGACACGCTCAGCGCTTGTCTGCTCACATCTCACAAAGATTGATTAATGCCCATCAGGATATAATCACCCAAACCTCCCTCTGTGTGTGGTGAATTAGGAGAGCCTGCAGCCAAGAAGGCCTCAGTGAAAACAAGCATAGGTATTCACTCAACAGACAGTAAAAAAGTYTCTTCAGTTCTTCTGCATTTGCACTCTTAAAAAACATAGTAATTTTACAAGTAGAGCATTCTGGTGACCCTTTGTTCTGTCATCAGTCAACATAAAACAAATTAAAACTATGTTTGTTAGACTCCTAAACACCGCACTAACAAATGTATTTRGGTGCATTCATGTGGTTGTCCAGACAAATTCTGGGAGAGATCCTTTAACGTAAAAAAATTGAGCAAAAATTTATACTTTTCACACAATAGCCTTATTTTTTTTCTTCTTTTACTCGCACATAACATGTCTTTTGACATACATGAAAAGACAGAAGTAAAGTTTAATTTTTACTGATTATTGCTTCAGTCATAAGTAAGCAAACGTATCAGTGTTGTGCCTAAAGATCTTAAAATGGACAGAAATTTTCTCTAAGAAAAAAAAAAACTCACTTGTTCAGTTCAGTTCAGTTCGTTTATTCATTTCTTAAAAAAACAACATGAATTCAACATTCAACAAAAATGCAAATCATAAATTAAATGAAAGCTAGCAGAAGATGAGAAAAATCTTATATCTGCCACTTTTTCTCAAATAAATAAATTC